CACACATGTACAGTAAAGGCTGATTCCCTGATGAAAAGCAGGAAGAACAATGTCAGTGCACCTACTGTTTACATCAAACCCATTTTATTCTGACTACAGTTTGTATGTCCTCCCTGTGGCTGTGTGGGTTTTTTCTGAGTGCTCCTGTTTGCTCCCCAGTACGAAGACATGCTGTCTACGCATTTTTAAATGACCTGTGACATTCTGTAAATGCCTGTACAGAACGTGACTCTGTGACAGATGTGCACGATCTGTACAGATCTTCTCGATGGTGTCAACCAAAGGACAATGTATGCTTATCGATATTACCACTGCTTTCGACACGCTGTTCTCTGCTAGAAAAAAGAGCATTAAAAAGTTATACAAAATAAACTAAACGATATTCAACTCACACTGCAAAATAAGTTGCCTTATGTTATTCATGTTATTCATCAACTACAAATGACAAATTCTTCTAGGTTCAACAATTTAACATCCAACGACATTAAAGGTATACTAAGGATGAAAACGTCTTTACCTGTAACTTCCCAAAAGAAAGAACTGGAACTGGGACTTGCTATGCTGTTCAGCATAGGCTATACGATAATGCAATATTAACCTAAAGTGCAATGGCGAAACATAAAAACAAGCTTACCACATAAATCCTGTAAAAGCCATGGGGTGTGGTAGGTTTTAGATAACCACACAGGTCATGGGGTCTTAGATAAGTAAGCCCACGTGTTGTAGTTTAAGACATGCTGCAGAATGGTATAATGATGTAGAGGAAGGTGGCTGATTCAAGCATGTGACAGTCGCCTGCAACAAAACACAGCTAGAAATACATTTATATGGGATTTATTGATATGGATCTACAGTATACAAACTGTAATGTCACAGTGGAATGAAAGTTCTGAGCATATCGTACATGGAATTTAAAAGGAAGCACTGAAATGTCCTAATTTGATAAGTGTTCTCTCTTTTTGCTGTGACCCTCCAAATTGAGACCTGCTGCATGTACTTTTCTTTACTTGCGAGATCGCTCTGAAATCTGAATGGGGTTCCTGTAGTCAGGTCAATTAGGTGACATGATTTCTGAAGAAGCACTCCTCCAGTAGACAGCGTGTGTCAGAGCAGGAACTCTACCAAGGAGCTGTCTGTACACCTCTGTGAATTATGAGGAGGCAGAGATCTGGGGATGAATATTAAAACACATCTCGGGTGTTGAAAGTTCTCAGGGGCACAGTCAGGTAACACTCTCCCTGCCATGACAGATGGCGGTGGCAGCATCATCTTATGGGGAAGTTTATCAGTGGCAGAGACAGGGGCTCTTGTCAGGATAGAGGAAACAATTATTGGAGCCAAATACAGGGAAATCTTTTAGGAGATTCTGCTACAGTCAATAAAAGACCCCAGACTGGGGAAAAGAGTCACATTCTAGCAAAACAACAACCCCAAGCACACAGCCTAAGAGACACTGGTGTGACTTCAGAACAAGAAGGTGAACGTCCACAGGTGGCCCAGGCAAAGCCCAGAGTTCAATCCCACTGACAATCTGTGGATGATTGTGGTTCACCAATGCTCTCCATCCAACTTAACAGAGGTTGAGCACATCTCCAGAAAAAAAGAGGGTGAAAATCCCCGGATCCTGATGTGCAAAGCTGATACAGACATACCGAAGAAGCTGTAATTGTTGCAAAAGGTTTGACACTTTGTATAATGTGTAAATCAAGAGGAATAATAATTTCAATGGATTACAAATTCTGGTCATAACAACAGTATTTGCAATTGTCCAGCAGTTTTTCCCTTTTCACTTTACATAAGACACAGGGATTTAACTCCACATACAAAATGCTTCACAGAAATTCATTGACTATTATGAAGACAGAAAAAAAAGACAGATTTTGTCATCTCTGGACAGGCACTTGAAAATACACGCCTATTCTGCGTGTTGTTGATGACAACTGCATTATACCATCCACAACAGTACATAGCTGGGAACTACTGTAACTCTGAACTTTCTTTTAATGTCCAGTTTAACTACTTTGTTAGAATACCATTTTATCTTCTGAGGAACATTCCCAAACAATATTTCTGTCATATAAAAAAAGAATGTAGAGGTATCAGTACCATTTCTATTTACTGCTTTTGCCATCTAAAGTCTATTTGTGCTCCTGCCCTTTTCCTAGTAAATTGATTTTGCTCACAATACTGCCCCCAGGGTACTCATTAACAGACCTCTCTGATGATACATGCCTCTGGTGGTTAAATCCCTTCTTGGCTGCTGGTGCTACTCTGAATATTTGAAAGTTGCTACAGTTATGTATAGGGTTTCACAAATTACAGCCTTGTTTTCCCTAGATAAGTTAACTCTAGAAGTTTCAAATAAGTTTCTAGGATACGGAAATTAAATTTAATTTTGTTCATGGTTTTAGTCTTGATTCAAGGGATTTTCTTACGCCTGCGGTTAGGAAAGATGAAATATCAGAAAGCACACGGATGTATATTCATTGAGCAGGTCTTGGGGACTACGCCCCGTTTTTGACTGTACACCAGGGGGCAGTCATGGATAAAAAGAAAAAAAATCAAGGAGATTTACTGTAACAATAACCATCATGTTTTAATGTATAATTTCTTAATGCTGCTTCACAGTAGAATTGCCACATATGATTGGATTTAGCCCAGATATCTTAGCACTGAAGTTAAAACTCCAAAGGACGTAGAGTGATGGGCTCTAACATACATCACTTCTTTCTGAAACTCTGCTGTGGGTGTAAGTTACAGGAATATTAAAATGACATGCTTAGTGTAAAGTAGATGAAAGAGAAGAAAGCACTTAAACATTAGTGTGGTGGATACCAACCTACAAACCACAACTCTGAATCAGTGAATCATCTTAACACTTGCCCATCTGAGTGTTGTGCCCCTGCAGGCAGACATCCTCCGAGCTCCAGGGTGCACCGGTGAAGCCTGCTCATCTGACAGAGCCCCTAGGTTCACAGTCCCTTGAATCCTCTTCCACCTTTCAGATCAGCTCTTCCACCTTCTATCAATACCGGGAAGGCCAGAATAGGTGTATTCCTCTGCACCACTCCAGGTCTCATGACATGAGACAAACATGTTGTTTTCTGCTTGGACACCATCTGTAGTGTAACCCTTTATACCATCTTTCTACTATACTTTAATCAGCAAGAAACACCTTCTCTACTGAGACACTGGAGCCTTGCAAACTACATAGGCAAGGGCCACCATTTTCCTCAACCACCCGACACTGGAGGTGGGGGTGATGTGGTCAGGATCACGCTCCGACCAGCCTGCTACCCCTGGAAGGATTAACCCCTGGTGCTCATTTGGACAGCAGGCTGAGTGGACCTAGGAGCCAGCTGGAAGGAATAAGAGCTCCATCACCTGCCCCTACCTGGGATTGAACCCGGGCCCTTCCGGTCAGGAAGCCAAACACCCTTGCCGTCTGAGCTACCACAGCCCCCTTACAAACTAGATACTGGAATACTTATCCAAGTGAAGGAGCTACAAGTCACTCTTGATCTTCCTTTCAGTAATCATCATCCATCCTTAATCTCAATCCCCTGTGAGCTCTTCCTTCACACTCTCATACTAGACCCTCTCTAACACAAGGGCTGCAATCCTGCCTTCTGTCTGTCTGCTGATGTTAAAGCACAGGAGCCACAAGGCTACACCTGTACTATTTAAACACTCTACATTTATTTCTGAACTCTCATGCTCGTCCACTCCTGCAGGAGCTAAGACAGTCTCTAGCCCTTCTCCTCTTGACTCCTAGTACACACTAGATTTTCAATCTACAGGTGTGCCTAGTTACCTACAGAGCCAATCATAAATGTTCTTTTCCACCCACGAAATTTCATTCCCATTGGATGTCAATGAATCAATTAAACCAGATGGATTTAACTGTTTCACTCCAATTGATGGCTTTAAGCAGAGCCCCCAGTGTCATGGTAGCATACTAGCACAGTTAGCATTAGTGTTAAGAGAGAAAATAAGCATATTTAATATGTTTTGCATCTTCACATCCAAACTGCATTTGGACAAGATGGTGTTAATGCACTGTAGGAATAAGGGCATGTTTTGTCTAATGTTAATGTTAAAAATAAAACAGCCTTATATTGTGTGAAAACCAAGAACAGAAAATATAATTGCATCTACAGAGTCTGTGAAAAAGTTAATAGATGTGTTATCCAGAGGTGAATGTTTCAAATTGATTATTGATCGGTTTTGGTAATGCTTTAAAAAATGTTGTAGCATGCTGCAATACTGTGAATGGCTGGTATGATCATGGGGTATTTCTATTCAGCAGCTGGTGAACAAGATCCCGAGTCACAGCTGTCTTGCTTTCACAAACTTTGTACTATACATTGTCGTTGGAGATCCTTTCAATTTCCTAATTGCCTGCAGTTCATGAAATACTGATTGGTTCTGTGGACGGGTGTTTAGTCATAAGCATATAGTCATACTGTATATGTTTTTCTATATGCATTTCACATGTGCATTTAGTCATAAGCGTATAAAAACCACATACTCAGCATTATACTCTCACACAGGCTTTAATGGCTTTAAGTCACAGCACTGAGGAAGCAGACAGAATTGTTCTCTTGGTGCTTTTCAACATGTGATCATTATGTTTGTTTTGGAGTCTGTGAGAGAGGAAGCTCTGAGCTGCCTTTGCAGTGTTGTAATGCAGTAGTTTAGTTTTAATGGCAAGTCTTACATTTATGGACATAATGTAGCACAAAGTGAATTAGAAAATGGTACAAGTGTGGACGACAAATCTGACTTCAATAACTTAGTTGTGTTTTGTGTAAATTCACCGTTATTCATCATTTGACATTTTTGAGAAAAAAACAACAATGTTTGCATCTCTGATTGTACCACAGCTCTAAGAGTTTCAGATTCACACTCATGATAACACTTTTCTGAGCTTTGTTTCAGCTCTCAGCAGGAAAGGAAACATGACCAGTACAGAAAATAAACAGAAAGGAAACTGTGGATTTATATAAAAAATATAATACTTTATTTTGAACTAGAAAAGTGAAAACATGTAACTTTTTGGTCACACTCCTCAACAAACAGTACACAGACTGTCAAAAATGAACAGTCACTTGAACAAATAAGCTATTAATACAAGTATCAAAGCAATAAACAAAAAATGCATCGTTAAATTAACTTAGAGAACTGTACAAAGTATGTACAATATTTACAGCAATAATAAAATAAAAGGAAAGAAGCTACAACACGTCATCCAGTCCTTTTTTTGACATGAAAACCAATTCTCTTACAGTAATCCGAATCAGCATGTCAAAATCACTATTTTTTTTCTCTCAGTGCTGTATAAACTACTGCAGCACAATCACCAAGCACCTTGTCTTGATGGCTGGTTGGCCGTTTTCGGCGAGGGCTGAAAACAGAACCTGCCACCTGCACTGACGCAGTTCTGGAACAGTAAATAATCACAAGAGCACATTCATGTAGCACCCAGGTGGGTAAAGGAGCACGTTTCCTTTCAGAGCCTTCGATCTGCCTACCATAAGTGCTATGAGTTTGAAAACTGCTAGGTCAGTGGGATACCCACCACGGTTGACAGGGATGAGAAATGGCATCTGCCTTTATATATATATATAAGTGTCAACGGCAGGGTTGCCATTTAATAAGACTATAGTGCAGTATTCTACCGAGGCTGCCATATTCGCCTCCTGTCTTTCCATGCCCTCATTAGGGCTAACAGTCTAGTAGGCAAGTAGCCTTAGACACACGTCAATATACACGCAAGTACAGAAATATATATAGTTTCGTTTCTTCATTATGAGAGGAAAGAATGCGAAATATGGTGTGCTACAGCTGAGATGGATATCTGTGTGATTCAAGTCGACAGTCACGGCGGGGGGGGGGGCTTTCACGCCATGTCTCCCAGCATCCTCTTGTAGTAGACGGACTGGAAGATGTCGTTCTCCCCGGGGCAGTTGTAGTGGCAGGCGCAGGTCTTGATGAACATCATCTGCTTCTTCATCACCTGGCCGTCGGGGCACTTGAACTCCATGGGCAGGGTGCTGGTCCGGTGCGGGGTGCAGCAGCGCCCGTCGGTGCACACGCCGCAGAACTTGGGCCTGTAGGTCTTGGTGGTGGTGCAGCCGGACAGCTCGAACTTCATGGGCTTGGAGACCCGCGGGGTGCGGATGCACTTCTTCCCTTTCTGTGGGGAACAGAGCGGCCCGGTTAGTACCTTCGTGCGTTTAGGCCCTTTCAGAAGGGAGAAACCTCTCCTAGAGTACTAGGACGATACAAACGGACAAGGGCAATGTCCCGAGGTGTTAATCCACGTAATGTTTTACAGCAAAACACGGCTTTAGTGCCTTTTCGTACGCAGATCTCGGAACAAGAGCCTCACCGAAGAGGCTGAGCTCTAAGGTGCCTTGAGAAACCGGAGCGTACTCCATGCAGCGCGACCATTATTCACCTTGATGCTCTGCTCCAGGTCAGACTCGCACGGCCTGACCATACACAGCCTGGACTGCTTCTCCAGCCGGCACTCCCGGTTGTCGTTGGTGACCCTGGTGGAGATGCCCAGGCCGCAGGTCTTGGAGCAGGCGCTCCATTCAGTGGTCTGGACCAAGCAGTTCTGGCGCATCAGTGAGGGGTCGGGACCGTAGGTGTCTTCCTCCCTGTAAGCTGTGAAGCACAAGAAGAAAAACAAAACAACAACCCAAAAGGTTAGAAATAGTGATATTTGTCCCCCTGTCTCTGGTTCCTAAGGATCTGCGCCCGTGGCTGAAAGGCTGCCGGTTCGTATCCCCCGGCCAGCAGAGGAATCCTACTCCATTGGGCCCCTGAGCAACCCCCACTGCCACAGGGGTGCTGCATAAATGGCTGACCCTGCACTCTGACCCCCAGCTTCTCTCCCTGTCTGGGTGTCTCATGGAGAGCAAGCTGGGGTCTGCGAAAAGACAATTTCCTAATGCAAGAAATTGTATATGGCCAATAAAGTGATCTTATCTTGTTCCTTTTCTTGGTTTTAGGTAGAAGATTCTGCTACGGAGCTGCGGTTTAAGACCCAACCTGACTCCCCCCCCCGCCCCCCTTTTTAAAGTTTTTAATCGAAAGCCGAGCGCTTTCCCGGGCGGGTGCTGAAACTCACCGGCCAGGGCAGGTCCGACCATGGTCTGGCGCCGCGGCGCGTCGCACACCCACTCCTCGCAGCACTTCCCGGGCACCTTCACCCTGCGCGGCGCGGGGCAGTCGGGGCTGGGCAGGCGGATGTCCATGCTGCACAGGGGCACGCAGCCCACCGCCCCGTCCAGGCAGGTGCACTGATATTTACAGCTGCTCTGGAAGCTCTCGCCGCTCCGGTACACCATTCCGCCGAACACGCAGGGGGAGCCCTCTTTAGCTGGGGAAAAGAAGGAGGGGGGAAATCATTTAGATTGTCGGCTGTCTACTCGGATACCATGACAAGGTACCGCTGAGCAACAGATTACATCCTTCCAGCTGCTGGGGGCGAGGCCGCAGCGAGTCTTACCGGTGCACACTCCAATCTTGCGATTGACCGGGGAGCCGAAGTCGCAGAAGAGCGCCTTGTGAGGGTCGCAGACGTCGTGCTCGGTGCAGAGGTCTCCCAGCTGTTTGGCGCACACTCGGCAGCAGCCGCAGCTGTCGGTCACCAGGCTCACCCCGGCGGGGCACTGGGGGGGCGCCTCGGGGCACCTGCACTGCCCGCTGCACTCCTGTGCAGAAACCTGTGGAGCAGATTGAGGCGAGCGCTCAGTCAGATCGCCTTCTACTTTGCTTCAAGTCCCAATTCAGCACCGAGACAAATGTGACATGAAGATACATGCAGTAAGTCCTTGTTTCTTATTTGTACTGTGACTAGTGAAACCTGCTACTACAGGAGATGTTATTGTTAATCTAAATATACAAATAACACGGGCGTCTGTGAAACCCCAATTTGCGGACTTTATTGTAAGTTATAATAAAAGCATAACAATTACTACAAATCTGATTGAGCATATTTTCTTAAAAGGAGCTTACCCAGTAAAACAGTGCGAGGCACAGGAAAGAAGTAAACTGCAGGTTGTTCATTCCAGCAGACATTTTCATTGCAGTGGCTGTGAATTGCTGAACGGGCTTCCTTAAATCTCTTTCAAGCAAGAGTCTCAAAAAGGTTTTCTACGATCAAGTCGATCTCGTTGGGGTTTTTTTTCTTCTTCTTCTTCTTCTTCTTTTCTTGCTTCTGGGTCAAAGCTAAAGTCTAGCTTTCTGTAGATCAGCCGCTGCTTGCTGCCTTTCTCGAGGAGAAATGTTCTGTGTCCGAAGCTGGGAGCTCGCCGTGTATTTATACACGCAGAGCTGCCGTGACGTGCCAAGGGAGGGAATGGCATCCTGGACAAACATGGACATTCCTCGCATTCTTTCCTACTTCCCTGCCTCTTCTAGACTCGCACCGGATTGTTCGTGACCCCCTGACACCCCTGCATTCCTCCTGTCTGAAGCGAAGCGCTGACACGTATCAAAATAAAAGTGCAGTCTTAACAGAATTAACCTCACAATGAGGTCCTTACAACTTTCTGTTTTAGCGGCGGAGCTTCTCAAGACTATTTAGTCCATTGGATATGTAAAGATATTTGAGAAGGTGTCGTTTAGCGAGGCTTAGGAGTATTGTATTTATTACACATTTAAGCGTTTATTTCTCACCGGGTTTGTGTCCCTCGGACCGTGCAGACAACATTGCTGTGTTGATTTTATTTCTAAAATAAACATGAGGAATAAAGCGGATTTTTTTGCTTTTTAAACGTCTTAAAGCTTTTTAATATACCTAAAGGTATTAATAAATGCACAAATGAATACAGGAATCAATAGTAGTTTCTGTGTTTTGTATGCCTTTTGGCATGTACTGTACAATACAAAATTGTCATGTCTTCCATAGCACTGACAATAAGTTAAACATATTATATGGCTAAACTATAGTATAAAGAGTGCACTTCTCCAAACCTTTTGTTAAAACCATGAATTATCTTTACTTCTAACTGGAATTAAGGTGAATTAGTTTTTAATGCTTTCATCCTGTTTTATATTGGTATGAATTCAAGTTCAATGACTCAGAACACAGTTTTACTCTACTGCAATGAGAAATGTCTACATTTCGAAAACACAATACTGCTTGTATTACTACTAATACTTGCAGTTTCACTCCACATTATTTCTTCTTATTTAGCAGATATGTTTTATTTAGGGTACCTTAAGGCCTTAAACACTCCTCAAAATACACATTGTGCTTGACTTGTGCTGTATTAAGCAGAAAGCCCATGATTTGTGGACACCTTGTTTGCTTTTGAAAATGTATCTGCAGTACAGTATTACAGTATTAAGAATAAGTAGGACAATTCTGAACAGTTACACCTCACTTCAGGTAAGACAGAGTTCACAGAGACTATTTCATGCACGTGCCGAAACATTCATTTAAAATACATAAAGAAACATTTAAATACATGTATTATCATTTCTTTGTATTTTCTTATAAATTAATTTATATTGAAACTGACAAAATACCCTAGATGTGTCCCATTTATGTGTTTTGATAGCTTTTTTATAATTATGGCTAAATAAAGTTATTGGAAAGCACACATTTCTTCACAACGAGTAAAATACATAATGGTTCAACTATTTAACATTACATTTCATATTAATAGCTCAAGCAGACATTAATCCATAATACACAGCCCGGCTTTAATGTGTAATTTTAGTCACATTCTTTTTATAGAAGTCTGCTATCACCTTACTAATAAAGTTTAGTCTATGTGTTTTAAAACACAGGTGTGCCACATTTCTTCTAGACATTGAGCAGACTTGAGGATTGCAGGAAAGCGACTAGACTCTCGGGTTGTATATTTTAAAAAAAGGATCACACAGCCCCTAGACTCAGTCTTCTGAAAGACAGGATTGGTCTTTGCCAGCCAAATAGGAAATGAAAAACTCTCAGAGAAAACTTCTTGCCAAAGGAATGCATGAACCGAGCCAGCAGACATACAATTACTACAAGCACACAGACTCAGAGGAAGTTTTGTCATATATGGGAATCTTCACTTTCAGCTTTTCTGTCTAGGCAGAAGTACTGTACATGAGCATCTGCTGTAATGTCTCATACCTTTAGAGGTTGTGTTCTGAATTATGTACCCATCAATCAACACCGTTTCATTTGGGGTAAAATGAAACAACATCTTTTAACCCTTTTTTTTCTAAGCAGCAGGTTATTTAATTTTAATTATGTCTGGATTGGGCATCCTAATTTAACCTTTGTTGCTACAACACACGAGATGCCATATGTTATAAAGTCAGTGTGGTCCGTACCCTAATGCTTAACGGCTGGCTGTGGTTGTATGTCCATGCATTTGGACATTTGAATTAAATTCATTTCTGAAGGAAAGGCCCCACCATGTGTGGCAACACTTAAGCAACTGTCATCTTGTTTCTAACACTGGATCTTAGATTACTGCCTCTAAGAGTTCCATTAGTATCTAACAAAGAGGCTGTGCTTTATGACAGACAACCTTCCAAGTAATTCCTCAGTCAATGGAGCATAGTAAAATACTTTCAGGTCTGTTAACCTTTAATGTCATGCACCCTGGTTTTCCATGGTCACTCAAATGGAATGTAATTTTAGCTCTGGTATGTGACTTCATGTGGTGTATATAGTACACCTAAGTCTTCCTTTTTTTAGTTCTTCTGAAGACTAAACCTACTGTACATTGGAAAAAGTGCCCAGCATTTCCAATTAATGCAAAAACAGATCAAGGAAAAAACGATATTAATTCGCAGTGTGTCAGTGTTATTTATTTTTTCTGACACTCCTCGTGTGCAACAAGGTGCACTCTTCTGAGATCTTTCAGTACTGCTCTGATTCCTTTCTCACTTTTATATAAAAGTGCATTTCATCTTCCCTCATATTTCTCGGCAGCTTCTGTGACAGTTCTCAGATAGAAAGTGCAGTATGTTACTTGGGCATTCTTAAAGCAAAATAAATAAATGTAACACTTCAACTAGCAAAATCAGACATTCTACCTTTCAGTCAGTGTTACCTTAATTTATGAATGTTACATTTTATTTGTGTATCAATAAAAAATTAAACTGCTGTTGGGATATGACGTTATTATGGTACTTATGATAACATCTTTGAAATGATCTAGTCTTGTCTAGTCTTAGTATTGTTGGCTAATTTTATATTCAGGAAGTCCTGCATTTCCATTCCCCTCTGAAATTCAAAACCTGGTTATACCTTCCTACCCAACAGTAGGAGATGTAAGTATTATATACTATCAATTACATTTCATGCTGGTATCCAATCACAGCACTGAGCCAGTTGTCAATTGCAAAATACAAGACCATTGCTCAATGGAAAGGTTACTTTGAGTTGAAAGAAAATAAGTAGAAATTTCGATTTGGCCCTGGCATTGTTATCAGTACATCTTAATGGCTTTAACTCTTTTAAACTTGTACGGAGACAAGTCTAATAGCTAACTGTTGTAGGTGAAGAGCACAAAAATAAAGAAAATCTTCAAGTCTCTCAAAGAATTGTTTTGTCAGCCTTGAGAGATTAATCCAAACACATACAACATGGTTTTGAAAGAAAATAATTACAAAAAAACAACAACAAAGAGGCAGACAGATGTTGTCTGATAAAAGAACATTCTGAAAATCTTTCTGCATGCTGTAGTTTAATGTATTTACTGATTACGCATATGAAAATGGATGAAAACTTGTATTTCTTTAATGAAATAAAAATGATACAGTACATTTTAAAATGTTTTTTTTTTGTACTGGAGTCATATGGATGATTAAATTGGTGATGTGTTCCTGAATGTGTGTGCCAAACAACCATAGTACATCCAGGATCTGCTGTGGACAACGTTTGTTCCCTGAGATGTTTTCTTATGTTGCATGACGACATTTGGTAAGGTGAGGGATACCCCTCTTTTTCCACAAATATTTTCCAGGCACATTCCTGCCGACGCCTTTCGATCCATTCCTCCAGGGATTTGGCTCATGTGTCTGTGTCTCCCTGTGAGGATGACCTCATTCAAGGGATGACCTCATGCATGTTCAGAAATAACAGGAAGCAACTGGTGTTCGTGTAGGTTTAACTGCCGAGCAGATCATCACAAACTTGCTGAGAGCCCTCTGAGATTGGGTATTTGATAGAGGGATATTTTACATTAAAACAAGATGAGATTTTAGGGAAGGCTACAAGTCCACAAAGTATTTATTTTGTGAAGTTTAGTTACATATTACACATGACAGAGTGTTGAATTGGCCTTATATGGACACAGGAGTTTAGTCCCCTCCTAGTGAATGACTTATGGCAGTTTTTCAGCACTAGTTTACGTCATGTGCACTGCATGTTCCAAGTTCCCTGGATGAATGACTGTGTCTGCGGCCTGTGTTCCTCACCACCTTCTCATGTCCTACTCTTAAAATCAATTCTATTTAAATCTTCATCATAAAATCTTGAGGTGGTTTATACAGTTTGGAATCGAAACCACTACATTTCGGGATCATAGAACACAGAGTTCTGAAAAACGACAAAGCTGAAAACAGCAGTTGTGAAACTTTCTGGCACTGGATAGGATTTTACACGGTTGGGCTTTATTAATATTTTGTTAATTTTAAATCCTTCTGCTTCTGTCTTTTTTAAATGAGTTGGTTTATCTGACAAAGTTTGATTTTTACACATGTAGTTAAAAAATAAATGCAAAGAGATTTCACAAAGCACACTGGAAATTCTTCCAAGCAGAGATTTCCTGTTAAGGGCCATTTCATTTTGTCAGCATCTTAATATTTAAAGAGTGACTGGGTACGTCTGAAAACGTCTGTACAGACTGGTCATTTAACCTTTAAAAACATAATATCAATGAACATATTTTCCTCACATTCATTTGCTCCATGCCCTCAAGAGCAAAAGTCTATAACTGACTGCTGGCTGGATGTCAGAGGAATGTTTCTTGCTTTGATACAGCAAGCCACATGCCTCCTGCCACCACTTGAATTGAACATGTGGTGCGGTTCTCAAAATGACCAAATTAGTTGGATCAAAGCTTAATGCCTTTTTTAAAGCAGCGATCTGACAGGCATAAAGGCATTTATAATACAGACCTGCACTGTATACCTATAGGCCTACAAAATCTCCAACATTAGAATTCATAATTCAATGCCACAGCACAGGTAAGAAAGAACAGAATTTGAAAAGCTGGGGAAAGGCACCTTTCACAAAGAGCTGAAAGGCATCAATGACCTAACTGATCAAAGGTACCATAAAATGCAGGTGTA